ATTATAAGTGTTTTTCTGAGCTATAATTTCCTGTCACAGAATGCATGCATGCAAATCATTGCTCTTTTGTGATGTTTGCAGTAATTGCAGTTTGTAGTTTGGGTCATAGTCTAAGCTTTGATAATTTTTGGCCAAGGTTCACGTGAAAAGGCACAGTGAAGCAAGTACCAGTAATAGTATCAGTAGGAGTTACCTATCTGTATTTGTGACATTGAAAAAGTAATTATTTAGCATTTCAAAATGAATACTTTAGTGCCAAATACATTTCTCTCTCCATTGCAATTAATGTCATGCACCAGAAGATGGAGTAACACAATATTAACAACTCCATGGCTGGCACATGGGCAATGTACTTTTTCTTAAATGCACCAGTTCTCCACTTCAGCAAGTATTTAAAATATTAATCTGCTGTCAGTTTTTCATGGTGGATATTAAAATTGCTATTGCCACCTCCATCATTATTGGAATAGAATGTTCCAAGCTTCAACAAATTTCCTACTTCTTGTCAAGTCATGCATTCCTTTCTCACAGGGATTCTAGGGACCTGTTATCAAATTTTGCAGTGTGGAGGTATTGTACAAAAGAGCTGCGTGTCAGTTCATCTTTATAATAATAACAATATTTTCCTTCCATAGAGGAACTGTAATTCTTGAGAACCATTCTCCTGCAATATTTTTGATTCAGTATTAGTTTGAAACATTAATTTACATGTGACATGTAGTTTAGAAGCTTGACTATTCTGATATCTTTGTTTTAATTGTAAACTGCCATTATCTCCTTCCTTTCCTTTTTCATCATACTCTGTTCTTCTTCAGCCACCATGTTGTTTGTACTATACTACTTGAAGTTTCCACTTTCAACAATATTTTTCCTCCTCTTTAGTCTATTGGAAAATCCAACAACCAAAAGAATTTTCATTCACTGTTGTGAGCACACCATGTGTGTTTTTCAGCTCAGGATACTTGCCATTGATGTAAGCTACTGTTGATGTGCTGCTGCTCAAATCTGTTTTCTCTGCAAATATTCCCCAGTTTCTTTCTGTCCATACTTTTGGACCATAACATTGCTGTATACTCAAATCTTCATACTTTTACAAAGTTTCTACTCAGAACTTAATCTGTTCTGCTTACTGTAATTAACTGCTGTTTCTCTACTCTTTCTACTTTTACTTAACTCTCAACTGAAAAATGTTCAACAACCAGATTTTTACAGAGCAGTAATTCAAACCTTTTTATTCACTGTTTCTGTTGTGATACCCCTGTGTGTAGTTCACTTCCACAGGATCTCGAATGGTCTTTGCCCTGAACATTTTTTGATTTCTTCAAATTTTGCAAAAGAAAAAGGTTTAAGTCATCAACAATTTTTCTCTTTGCTTTGTGTTCCTATGTAGGCTTTGACATCAGTAGTTAACTACAGAGAGCCCAAGTCAATCTGCAAAGCACCTGAGTTGGTAAGTGATACAAGTGGAAAGTAATAATTCTTGTTTATCACTGTGAAATTAATTGCCATAGGGTGTGCAAAATTGGTACTTTGGTAATTTTTGATGTCTGTATTTCCTGTGGATGTAAATGTACAGTTTACCCATGTGTACAGCCCTTGTAATAGAACATGAGACTGTAGGCTGACTTATTTCATGTTTGAACTTTTGTGCAGAAGTTGCAATACCTTGGCATACATTTGTTCTAAAGCTTGACAAATTAGGTTTGGGTTTGATTTTTCTTTTTTTAATTTGAGCTGGCCAAGTACTGTGACAACTTGTTGAAGAAATCAGCGAAAGGAATGACAGAGAATGAAGTAGAAGACAAACTTACAAGTTTTATTACTGTTTTCAAATACATTGATGACAAAGATGTATTCCAAAAGGTAACTTTTCATATTCAATAGAGGTTCAAATGTTACATTTAAAGTGTATTTCAAGGATGTGGTTATGCTTTTTTTAAATCTTTATATCTGTTTTTGTTTGGTTTTTTTTTCAATGCAGTTCTATGCCAGAATGTTGGCAAAACGATTAATTCATGGTTTGTCTATGTCTATGGATTCTGAAGAAGCCATGATAAATAAACTAAAGGTAATGAAATATTCTCCTAATGCAGAATATACAAACATAGGAGTCTGTAGTGTTGAGAGGGAGCTGCAGAGGGTGCCAGAGGTAACTTAGCAGTCAGTAGGACTGTTTCCAAGAGCTGAAAGGAAAAACTAGTTTTTTGGAAGTCTTTGAAACATATATGGCCAAGTATCACCTTGGCATTTGAGATTTGTATGTGGTTTTGGGTAGTTTTATTGGGTGTGTTCAAACAAACATTACAAAAGTACCAAGGATTTTCATAAAGCATGTCTATCTTTCCATAAATAGCATTGTTCAGACAAATCAATGTATAGAAAGGGAAACTAAGAGGAATCTGATAATTTTCTTTTACAGTGTTTGTTTTCTATTGTAACTAGTGTTTTCTGTAAATATAACAACACTTCTGCTGACTAGATTTTCATATTATAATATGAAAAGTGAGTGAGCATAATTTATGTATGTGTTAAGTACTGTTTTCACTGTGAAACCTGTGACAATATTTCTTCACAGCAAGCCTGTGGTTATGAATTTACCAGCAAGCTCCATCGAATGTACACGGACATGAGTGTTAGTGCTGATCTCAACAATAAATTCAACAACTTTATCAAAAACCAGGACACGATTATAGATTTGGGAATTAGTTTTCAGATATATGTTCTACAGGTACTAATGTATGTTTATTGCTACTGAGTTATTTGTACTTATTTTTTATGTTTTGATAACAAGTGAACAATTTTTCTAACTATGAATGCTTCTTGATATGGAAACTGACACCTTGTGGTCAGTGTGGAATGATTTATTTTCCTAGTGTTTCTTTTTAAAATTAACCCCCTAGCTCACTAAAGAATAGTGATGTCAAATACCTTGTGCTCTCAACTTTAATTAATACCTCAGTGGGACATGCATAAGGAGCAGTAAAAAAATGAGCAGTAAAACTTTGGAGATCAATTGATTGTCTTATGACATAATGTACATGATAGATCTAAGTGTTATTTTTTATTAATGTATATTTCATATGAAGATATTAATGCCTTTATTTTTCCCAATACCTTTAGGCTGGTGCATGGCCTCTAACTCAGGCTCCTTCTTCTACATTTGCAATTCCTCAGGAACTGGAAAAAAGTGTACAGATGGTAGGTTAGTAGGAGGCTTCTTGTAAACATGTAGAAAATGTAAAATAACTCCAAATAAGAGATCATCACTCTGACAGTGAAAAATCTGAGCTGCTTCATTTTGTCTGTAAATCACAGCTATCCTGTTTCCAGTCCATACTGAATTTATGTATGCACTTGCATAGCTTTTCTTTATTTTTCACATCTCTCTTCTACACTTTGTGTTTACTGAGGGAGATGTTAATAAATACAATCAAAGGAACCAGGTTTGTTCTTACTTTGAAATCCAATCCCTAATATTTAGATAAAGGAAGATTTTGTTTCTAATAATAAATCTGAACAGATTTGATAGCGGATTAATATGCAAGTACAGGTTTCTTGGCCTGTATTTCATAGGACCCATTCTTAATCAAGCTTTGTGCAAACTTCTTTAAAGCTAATTTTGTGATTTCTCAAAGCAGTGCAGGTTTTACTTTGGCCAAATATTCTCTTCTTACATGATTATTTCTGCTTTGTAGAGGTTGAGTGTTTTGTTACTTCTGATAATATTATTATGTTCTAAATGTTACCTGTACAATGTTTGTGTTAAAAGAGGTAATATTTGTGTTGATCTTTGCTAAAGTCTATTTAATGGTGAAGTACAATTTAGGCAGTATAAATTTTGTATTATTGGACATAACAGATTTTTAAGAGCAGTTTTTATACCTTAATTGATATCTGATGTACATTGTAACAGCAAATATCTATTTCTGCAGTGAAGGAGCTTTGTGATGTATTACTGCTGAGTATTAGAACCACTTATCCTGCTTTTATTTCCACTGTGTTAAGTGGCACTTGTATTTAGCAATAGAATAGTTTCCAACCCATACCATGGAATCACCAGGTGATTGATGGGATTTTACTGTTCATTGTGGGTTTAAAATAGGACTATTGTCAATTGTGCCTCAGTTGGAAAGTTGTTGCAGACTTGTGTATCAGAAGCAACTCAGAATCTGAGTTGCATGCCTAATTCCAATGTTTTGCCAGTGTAAAAAAACTTATTCATGTGTCACCTAGCTGGAGTCAATGCTCTAAATTATAATTCCCTGAAGAAATAGAACATGACCTTTGGAGATCTTTGAAAATTATCTGACAGTGTCTGTAAATACTGTCAAAATTGATGGTTTGACCCAGAGATAGGGAGTTCTCTCAGGATTCTGGCCAGGACTTAGAAAAAGTGTTTTGCAATTGCACTCAAAAGTACTGAGTACCTCTGTAACTGGACAACCTGTTTAGCAGCTTTTTCTGGAGTGCTGGAGCTTCCTGTAAATATATATTTATCTGTATTGTGTACAAATACTGGGTGTCATGCTGTGTAAGTTGTGGGTGGAGAAATACATGATTCTTAAAGAGATCAAAAGTCCCTGTTTTTGTGTTGTCCTTCAGTGTTAATCAGAGTTGCCAGACCAAATCAGAGCAAGCCAAATTGATGTTTACACAGTGGGGAGTTAGGGAATTTGATCCCATTTTAGGTAAGATTCTTTGAATCTGCTTAAGGTTTTCTTAGTACCAGAGGTAGACCTTAAATTAGGATTCAGTCATCACTCATCTTCTGAAGGAAAATGCTGTCATGAAGTGATCTGGAACGTTTGCATCCAAAATGGTGAACATAAAATCAGTATTTCTTCATTAGGGTGCTAGTAAACTGTTGTAAGTGGTTATATGTGTGACTAATTGAAGTTCGTTTGTTTTGCAGTTTGAATTATTTTACAGTCAGCATTTTAGTGGAAGGAAGCTTACTTGGTTACATTATCTTTGTACAGGTAAAAATAACTGCTTTGCTAAAAACTTATGTTCTATACAACTGACAGTTATTTGCTAAAAGTCTTTTTCAAATGGCAACAGGCTGTGGAGTTGGAACATTATGTTGCTTATGAAGTCATTACTTATTTTGCATTGTAAATTAATATTTACTGCCTAATATTTCAAAAATTTATGTAAATATTTCAAAAAATAATGTAAATTTTGCATTTATTAATTAATTTGTTTGTTTGTTTATTTATTTATTTCTTAGATCCAAGTAAAACTAGAGTTGTATGTTCTTAACTTCAAAACAGCACTGCAGAACTGCTAGTTAATAACAATTGCCCTGGAAATGTTTCTGTAGTATAAGATCTCCCTTAGATGAATATAAATTATTTTAAGAATGCATATTATACTATTTTACTCAGGTATGTGAGTGCCTAAGTAAATACCTGCTTATATTTACTATATAGGAATATGTGTTAAAAGCATCTTAGAAGATATATATAAAATTAGAGTTTATTCTAGTTGGAATCAGTCATGTTTTATTTTAAGTGCTTTCAGTATTCAGGCTTTAACAGCTGAGCACCACAACATACTATATGGAGGTGAAAACCTGACTAGCATACAACAATATAATATAGTGAAAATCTAGTTCTGATAATAGAAGTTTGCTGTTAACTCACACTCACCTTCACACAGAAAATCTAAATCTCGTTTCAAGTAGATTTCTGCTTTTTTATTTTCCATGGGAATATAAGAACATGAAAAAATTTTGGTGGGGTGTATGTTTTACTTTGTTTTTAAATCTTTCCTTGGAACAACTTTCCTGTAATCACTATACTGTGATTCTGTGTGAGATACTATGAATTGAAGTTTATGCACTGCGATGTGTTGAGGCTATTTGGAATTTCCTTTTTTTAATTACTATAAATTAGATTGCATTATTCATAACACTACTGTTGTAGTATTCATAGTTAATCAGAGGGGTTTTTTGTTGTAGACAAATGTGTAAATTCCCAACATTAGTGTTCATCATCCCATTTCAGGTGGTAAATGCAGACTTGAGTTAATTGTCTGGAAATTTATGAGGAGCTCTAGTAGTTAGGCTTCAGATGACTTTTCAGACTATTCCAGCAGTTTGTAAAATACTACTTCTATCATTACAGGTGAAGTAAAAATGAATTATTTGTGCAAACCTTATGTAGCCATGGTCACAACATACCAAATGGCAGTATTGCTTGCCTTCAACAACAGCGAGACTGTCACTTACAAGGAGCTTCAGGACAGTACACAAATGAATGAGAAGGAACTGACAAAGACCATCAAATCTTTGCTTGATGTCAAAATGATCAACCATGACTCAGACAAGGTATGCTGTAATGATATACAAAACTTTCATGTTTTCCATCTTGTCACTCTGGTATTTGTTGAGAGCTTTTGAAATATAAAATAATCCATTTTTTACTTTTATTTATCTAAACTGTGTTACTGACCCCTGTGAGCAATTATAAATCTGTGTTTATACAGAAAGAGACAGGAGGAAGTGGACTGTCTGTCATATAGGCATTCTGTGCCTATAGCAGCATGGTCTGCTGAGCAGGTAATAATGCTGGGACTGTTTATTGTTTCTGTTGCATTTCATCCATGTGGCTTTAGACTCACTGCTGTTGGGGAGGAATACTCTGAAACACACAAAGTTGTATTGAATCACGGGGAGGAGCCCAAGTAGTAAACCAAAGAGTCTTAGAGCAATTCTAAGTAATATTTGTGGGATTAAGGAACTGAAAGCAACAGCAAACGTTCTTCCTTGCTGACAGATCACAGGAGGAAGGAGAGCAAGGAAGGTTTGTGTGAGAAGATTTTTGCTGCAATTTGCCAAACTTATCATTTCATGAGTTTCATGGAATTTCAGTAGTATCTGAGCTTTCTCTATGGTTAAGGCAGCTGTTAATGCAGGTTCTGTCTCTTCCTTCTGTATGGCCTATGGGAAACCAGTTACTGTTTTTCCTCATACAGTGAAGGGCACAGAGGTGTGTTAAGGAAGAAAAACTACAGAAGTGCATCCCATGCAGACATTAGCATGTGCTTCCAGCTGTCCCAGAAAGCCCAGTATTCAGACAGTATCAAGCAGAAGAAACTGAGATAAGCTGTTCAATTCACTTATGAGAAGAAATCCAAAGCTGCTTTGATAGCAGCTTTTGTTTTTAACCAGGAAAATTTTAGAAAATGGAAAGTGAGATCACAAGGATGATCTGATGCTTGGCTGAAACATAGGACATGCTTCCAATATCTAGAAATGAGCTCAGGTTGGAACAGTGACTGGGAAGATATGTTAAACCATGGGTCATATAAAACCCTGGGACCTATTACAGAGAACAGTGAGTTGTTTCACAATCTTAGAAAGTTTCACATTAATTAAAGGATTTACATTTATTTATGTCTGTTGTATAAGGTTTGCCCATTTTCTTGAAGCATATGCCATTGAAGAGGGAAGGATATACCTTTCAAACCCTCTCAGCTTTTACCACTGCATTCTCTGGTTCTTTACCTTCCAGACTATTGTATTTAAGCATCTTTGCTCTTTCTGTTCTCTTTGCACTCCATCCAACAGTGTGAAAGCAGGTCTGTAGACAATCTATCAGCATACTTATTAAATAAGCAAATTAACTTAGTGGCTTAAGCAGTGGAATTCAATACACTTACTTCTCTTTACCTGTATCTGAGCCACACAAAAAAGTACAGTTTATTAAATGTTGCTGTTTACTTGTTCAGTTTTTGAAAGGGGAGTGGGGGCAAGAACAAAAGTAGCTTTTGGTCAAATCTTTATTGGTTCATTAGATTCATGCTTCTTGAGTTCATGCACAATACACAATTTATTTGGGTTTATATTCAATCATGTGAGCAGAATAATGCTAAAATTTAATGCTAGCTTAATTTTTTTAAAGCTGTCGATCTTCATCTTTCATGTTACATTTTCTACACTATACCTGGTGTCCTGTTTTATTAAATATATTATAACAAAGAATATTCATTGCAAAATATAAAATTAGAATTAATATTGTTTTGAGTGGTTATGTAGATAAATATTGACTGGGTTTGCTAAAACACTTGTGCTTGAGACTCTTTGGCAAGATTTCAAGGTCACAGAAGCTCAGTAACTTTATTCTGGAGATTTGTAATACTTGCACACTCTTGCCTGGAAACTGCAATGCCTGGTTATCCTATTAGTTGAATGTAGATGTGTTTTGACTGCAGGGTGTAGTAAGAATTTCTTGAAAGAAATGGACATTTACATCTGGAAAAGAATTGGTATTCTGACAGTTACAAATTCGAAACATACAAATAGATGTGGAACTGTACAAGTTAGTTTGTCAGCTATTTCTGCTATAACGTAAGGAAAAACATCTAAGCATTTTGTTAAATTCTGGAAGTAATTAGTAAGCATTGTCAAAGAAACAGGTCTCGAGGATCTGCCATAAATAAATGCAAATCCTACTTTTTTTGCAGGGAGAAAATGAGTTTAAATGGAGTGTTTGCAACAATGATAGGCTGTCAGAAAAGAGAAATTGCTTTAATCATATTGTCTTGCTAACAAAACTCATGTATGACAGAGCTCTTCATAGTGTTTTCTAAAATAGACTTGATTTCTAGGTTAGTTAAACTGTAAGTTAACAAATTGACCTGGTTCAAGTGGCATTTTAGAATTTCCAACTACAAATCTGAAATTGTTTGTATGTTTGTAACACCCTAACTGTGAGTTTTCAAAGTAAATTGTTATCATTTTCTGGTTCCATTTCTGATTTTTACAAAAGATTCTTTGTTGCAGGAAGATATAGAGGCAGAGTCTACATTTTCATTAAATATGAACTTCAGCAGTAAACGAACAAAATTTAAAATTACCACGTCAATGCAGAAAGACACACCACAGGTAAGTATTTTTTGGTGTTTCTACCTTGAACAGCTTAGAAAGCTTGTTTTTCTAAAAATTTGAATCTATTGTGTTAGTTTGGTGTAAGCAGATGTAAGATTCCCTAGGTAAGATTTATACAACTGTAAAAAAATTTTGTAAGTTTAAAGCTTAAGCAGTGCAGGTTTTTTTTTTTACTCCAAATACAGGCAGGAAAAGATGAAATAGGGAACAAGAAACTAGAAGAAAAAGATAAACAAAATGTACCAAGTAGGATTGACATTTGGTTTGTCTTACCTAATGAGACTTTTTTGTTAGTGGTATTTATAAAAGCAACTTATTCCAGGAACAGCAGAACCAATCAACTCTGTTTTCTGGTGGTTTTGTGTCCTTTGGCAACTAAAATTAACTCCTGTGTTGATAATCCATGTTCCCTCTGTATCTCCTAAAGTGTAGGATTTTGTGCAAGATACATACATGCTGCCAAACTCAACACATGATCTGCCTACCTGTCTCCCTAGCAAGTGTTGGTTTGGAGGTCTCTCTCCTGCCTTCCCTCCTGACTTTGATGAAACCTGGGATTATTGATTTATGGAAGTACTTAGCCTGGAATTGAACTTCACCTGCATTTTTGTATTAGTTGACTGCTTTTAGTACAGTAAAAAGTATAGATTCTAAATACTTGTATGAAGTATTTATTTGCCTTATTATATTTTAAGCATTGCTCTTCTTCCTCTACCACAGGAGATGGAGCAGACCAGAAGTGCTGTAGATGAAGACAGAAAAATGTATCTTCAAGCTGCTATAGTTCGTATCATGAAAGCACGGAAAGTGTTGCGACATAATGCTCTTATTCAGGAGGTAAGGTTAAAATCCTCCTCTTAAGCATGATTTGATGAAAATATTCAGGATAGTTGGATAAAACATCTGACCACAAAACTCTCCCATTCCAAAACTAATACCCCAGTGAAATGAGTGAGCATTTTCTTAGGGTCTGCTTTGAGCTGGAGTACTGGAGCACTGTCTGGGATCTCTCAAGCTTGTAAATGTGCCTTAGCACTAAAGCATTAAGTGGCCTCTAAAAATCATTGCCAGAGCTAAGTGTTCAGTTGAAAACCTGAGTATGGATATTCTAGGTATGGAGATTCTACAGAAGCACCTAGGCAGTTTTTAGCTCTAATCATTATTTTATTATAACTCACGGTTTACATTTTAAAAGTTGTCTGAGCATGGTGACATGCAGTTTTTGATCTCCCTTTTCCATTAAGTGGTACAGTTCTCTAATTTTTTATATTCTAGATTAATGATGTGTGAACTGTCACAGCTTGGCTGGGAAGGAAGTGCTATTTCTTTAGTTTTCCTCCCACTTTCCCATCTGCTGGTTGCCTGCCTAATTGTATTTCTCATTCCAGCCTAACCTTTGCTCCTAACCAATCAGTTCCCAGATTTATGTTTCTCAACCTTCCAAAGCATTCTTTCTTTAGTCCAGTTCATTCTTGTGTCTCTGAGTCTTGCTGGTTAGCCCCCTCCCCTCAGGGGGAATTAAGATTCCTGCTTCATTTGACCATTTTAAGCATGGAGGTGGAGAGGCATTCAGTAATTTGTGGTGATGGAGGAAACAGTTTACCACATCCACCACTTAATTTTTATTTCTTGAAAAAAAATAAGTGACTACATAGAGCTTGTAAGCCCATAACTTGCAATGTGAGACATCTCAAAGGTTTTGGGTATTGAAATAGTGTTTGTACACAAATACTCTGAAAGCAAGCTTAATTTTGGAAATCTGATTTTGAATATCTACAAGGTGAGGCAGCATAGGTCCTGATTCTCCTCAAAATCGTTGATTGTTTGGTTTCCTGTTATTTAAATCATCCATGCAATTATGATGAAATCCTCTAAAAATTTGCAGTTGAAACTAGGCAATGATAGAAACCCCCTGTTTCATCTTTGGAAATACTTGCTTCTTGCTACTCTCAGATTATTAAATAAGGTTTTCAAAGGGCTCTTTGCTTGGCACCATTTTGTAAGGGTGAAATAGATTGCAAATTTTGACATTTTGGAAGCAAAAACATCCTTTCTTGTTTCTTCTTCCTTTGTTTAACAGATTGGCCACTAGCTTGTATGCCTCTGCTGTGTTTGCTCTTGCAGTGCTCTTGCAGAATAGTATGGGCTATTAACATGAGGAGCTCCCTCATGCTTTGCAAGAAATGTGGATATTTTGATGGTTACTCAGTTAAAAGCCTAGTAAAGAGTAAAGTTATGATATTGTAACGAATTCTGGCAATGTTACTTTCATCATGCTGTTTATATACTTAATATGTAATGTATTGACTTAAAATTTGCTGTCTGACTTCTTGAGGAAGAATGAATCTTTTTAAAAGGAATCTGGTTACTATGAATAGGAACTATATTCTCTCCTCGTTAATATTTTTCTCTTAACTATAAGGGCAGGATTATACTGTTGTTAGAGATAAGATTGAGAGACTCCTGGCCTTACTGTAACTTGCTCTGATTCTAACAGTTACACTACAGCACTACACATTTCCCTTAGGGTGAAGTGTCCAAGAAAATACTCAAGGCCCTTGGTAGACCTGTGTGTGTCAGCATGTGGTCTGTGCTGTGTTGTTAGTTGTGTTAGATACACCCTGGTAGCTTCACTTCTAGCCCTGTGCTGCAGTTGCCTGCAGGATGAGGTAGCTTTTCCCATAGAATGAGTAAGGTCTGTGACAGAAAGGTCAGTGCAGTCATTACCAGAAAAATTTTACTTTGACCGTCACGTATTTCTATCTATCATTCTTGTATTACCTTTGATAAAGCAAAAGCAAACCAAAAAAAAAAAAAAAAACCTCTTACCAATACAAAATTCTGTCTTTCATTCTGTCTCTCCTAAGCAAATACATGAGCTATGATGATGGCAAACAGTTGGAGTGTAGGGCTGAGCTTACGTGAAATCCAAGCAGATCTGTTAGCTGGTTAGCACGCGGTTTCTCCTCGTTTGTCCTGCTGTGGAACATACCAGGCCTTGGCTGCTAGCCCAACAAAACTCACTCTTTTGAGCTTTTTGTTTGCTTTGCTGGGTGAGTTCTACGTGGTGAGTTCTGTTGGCTCACAGAGGGCCCCAGCAAACTCTAGAGTTGGGACAAAGCCAGCCATGAAAAGTTGTCAAGAAAACAGGAAATCCAACTGAAAGAAAAATCACTTTCTTTACAGAAGAAATTAAAAACTAGACAAAATATATTGTGACACTTGAGTAGTAAGATCTTTAGTTTGAAAAGTTTTCCAAGTTAATGGATTTACATGTTCTATTACTACACACCATTTCCTCTTCTTCTCTACAAGAGAATGGGCAAAACTGAGAACTACTAAGAGACGTCTGAAGTTTTGCCTGTGGTGGCAGTTTCTTCCACAATGCTTGTTTAGATTTGTTTTTACAACAAATAACTTTTTATTTCTTGTATTACTAAGATCCAGCATAGCCAGATGGAACTCATCAAATCATAGGTCTTCAGTGACTGGAGACAGAGAGATTCATCCTGATCATCTCAAACTATATAGGAAAGGAGATCAGTGGTAGGAGAACTGCACTGTGGTAGTAGTGAAGAAATGTGTTAATATTAGATTAATTTTTAACATGGATATTTGTCTTCCTTTGTACTGTGACAAATGAAGCAAGCAAGAGGAATGGAAAGATCTGGGTAACATGCAGGCAAACTAACCAATGAGCTGAGCAGTTCAGTTTCAGTGTCCTGACACTAACACAGAGGTGCTTTCTTGGTTGTTATAAATTAACTGTTTCAGGTTTATTTAATCCTGTCGTTACAAGAAGAATATACTGAATTTACCTTAAAGCTCTTAGCAAATATTTGTACAGCACTTACAACTGTGAAAAATTAAAATAACACAGAACCCATGTCTTTCTTTTGCAGGTAATTAGCCAATCAAGAGCTAGGTTTAACCCAAGTATCAGCATGATTAAGAAGTGTATTGAAGTTCTGATAGACAAACAGTACATAGAGCGAAGCCAGGCCTCTGCAGATGAATACAGTTATGTAGCATGATGTTGCTATCCTGCAGGTATGATTGTAAGGAGATCATTGCTGTCACTGTTTGGTGTGTTCCTGTGGGAAGAGGCAGGCCTGTGCCTCCATAATTGGTCACTTGGCAGCCCCTGTTTTTCTGCTGTTTACAACATCACCAGTGCCATGTCATGAGCGTCAATGAAAATGCCTATAGATATTTCAAGCTCATGTCATTATGACATTTCTTAAAACTTTACTAAAAGAATGAGTGAGGTATTGCTGAAATGTGGAAAATTGGTTGGGTACCATGCTTTTTTTTTTTTTTTTTTTTCCTCCCCTTTCACGTTTGCAGTTGATGTTTTTTAATGTATCTTAAGACAAAGTAAAAAAAAAAAAAAAATCACACAAAAATCCTAAATATTGTAATATGACAGATAACCTAATAATTGTATCTACTTAAAATGTACAAAAAATGACGAACATGATACTGCTGCTTGTCAAATAAAAAAATAAAGTTATATAATGTGTCTGGAATGATTGTAGATCTGGATATAGCATTAATGTCTGTAAATATTATTCAGACCTGAAGAGTAAAAATAATGTTATGTGTTTGGGTTTTGGATAACCTCAGAAGTAGATCTGACGTAAGAACTAATTTATATAAAACTGAATACCAGGTATGTCATGTTTGATGTGATTATAAAAAAATCTATTTATGGTTAGGTGCACATCTTGTTTTCTTGAGATTAGGCTAATTTATATTCTTAGTGCCTGAAGGCCTACTGTGTGTCTGCTAATCTTGAACTATGGGAATACATTACAAGAGAAAATAAACTGACATTTGAGAGGATTTGAGTAGAGTAGATCAGAGTTAGGAATAGTTATCATGAACATCAAAGATATAGTTCAGTGGCTTGTGAAACCACCTTCTTAATGGGAAAGCATACAGCAGACTGCTAATTGAAAAATGTTTTTTCACTAATGCATTGGGTAGAATCACTACATGGATGGGTACCAATGTTTGTTTCCACACAAGCCCATACTACTTGTTTCTTGTTTTCCCTCCTGACTCCTATGGTTGTTTTTATCATGTTTTGTTTTCCTTTGCCCTGATTAGATTTCCAGCTGTTTGGGTGGGACAAGAAATCCACAGGCTATTTCATGTCCTGTGTTGTTTGTCATGGGTGGCACAGTGACTGTTCACTCTCACATAAGCAAAGGATCATTTTTAAAGGTACTAACTCTACCACTGGAAGTAACTGGAGTTTAAGAGCATTGAGAGCTTGAACACACTGAATGCCTCCTGCAGAAAAGAGCTTCCTTATGGCTATGCCTGCAGTTGTGATTGACAGGATAAATATTAAGTTCACTTTAAATGTTCTATTTTTGACAAATTTTGTTTGTGTGCCTATAAAAATCTATATGTAGATATATACTATTTGCAATATTTTTTTAGATTCTGTGATATCACCTTCTAAAAGTCCACAGATCAGGAATTAATTTTAAAGGAAAAAACCCTTTGGAGGGAGCTTTTTCCTTCTTTTTTCTTTTTCTAGTTCTTCACTGTATGGAAGGTTTCTCTCCAACTCTCATATAGTTGCTGTGTCTTATTTCTTAAGTGGCATTGCATTCATATGTTATCTGGAGGGTATAGGAACCTTTCTGTACTTAGCTAGGAAGTGCATCAAGAAGTGGCACTACGTTTTTCTGGTGTGGATTTTGCTGAGGATGAATAAAGGGCAATAAACAATGAAGGTCAGTAAACATTTCTTCCATATTTATGGTATTTTATCCCACTCCAGTAAGATCTAGATTTTTTTAAATGGATTTATGTCTTAAAGACATGGGGGTTCTTAACTGGCCATGATATGGTGCAGTAGGTCATTGTCTCAAGTGTTAGTTCAGAGTTTGTGTGTTGGGAGGCAGCAAGCAAAAGTGCTTCTAGTGTCAACAAGTGTAGTAAATGAGAGACACATTAGCATAAATTTTGACTGGAGTGACTTTCAATCTGTTTCTGTGCTTTATAAAAAAATAATTCATTACTGCTTATGACAAAAAATAGGGGAAATATTGTATGACACAACACAAAACCAGAAAAAAACTATTGCCTAAACATTGAATCATCAGATCCTTTCTCCAGAAAACAAACTAACAGTGACATCAAAGCTTCTGGAAACAAATGTGTTTTACTTTGTAACTTGTGTACCAGTAAACAGATTTTAAGTTTGTTTCATCATAAAAGGGTTAATAAAGGCTTTATTTAAATACAGATTGCAGTAGCAAAATTTAAAGCCTGACTTTGAAGAAGGCATGACAAATTTATTTTCAGAATCGTTTCGTAGACAACACAAGAACTTCACTTCTCTAGCCCAAACGTGCGAGGTTTTAGCATTACCTCTTCTCTGAATTTTTGCATACCTGAACTATCAGAAGTAGTATTTTGAGTTTCAGATAAGCTTGCTGCTGAGTTGAGACATGTTTAGTGAGTTAAAAACATTCATATATTTCAATGCACTTGGCATCCCCAGACAATGTCTTTCATAATTACACACAAACTCAAGTCTTTTCACTGCCTCTTGGGAAACATGGCCATAGCTGGGAAACATTTTGAATTCTACTTTATAACTTACACCTTCCCCCTAAGGAAAAAGGTAGTGCAAAGATTCAGGCCTCTGTAGCTGGGTTACATCACTGAAATCACCACTGGCTCACAGGGAAACAGCTTATAGTGTGGTGCTTCAGCCTGGCAGCCAGGACCTCTGGCAAGTGTCTGTTCAAAATGCTCATGGGTATTAACACAAGGAGCAAACTGTAAATGAAAAGATATCCAGAAATGCCCTACAGTTTCAATTTTTCACTGGAAGAAACTGATGTATTTGTACAGCTTTTTGTTTTTTGTTTTTTTTGTCTTAAGCCTATTGATATGTATGACCTGCTAGTTTATAGGAAGCCATACAGCTGAGTCTGGGAACATGATGATTTCAGACATCTCATACATGTCTAGTATCAAAATGCATTTTACCCCCAGCGCTGAGTGTTGCTGATCATTCTTACACTAACTGGAAATGTATTTCTGTGGTGTTTTAATTTGTCTTCAGATTGATTGTCTTGTTCTAGGAAAGAAAAGTGTGTACCTGCATTTCAGTGTGTTCATACACACCAGGCTGCTGGAGCTATGAAAGGTACTTAAATCATCATAATGTAAGAAATTGTTTGCAAAGCAGAGAGTATCATTACTTTCTAGGAAACCTTTCAGTGAATACATCACTTTTCCAGATAAGAAGCAGAGTATGGAAATTGGTCAACAGAGAAATGTATTTTATAAGCTGATATCTTGCAGCTACACTTACAAAGCCATTTCTTATCCTTTAGAAGGTTAATTTTAAAAACAAATATTGCAACATGGTATTGATTCTTGAGCATAAATTTTTTGTATCCTAGGACAGATATGTTAGCACTGTCCATGCTTTGCGAATATGGTAAGAACTTAAGAGTTAATTAATCAGAGGTATCACAGTGTATGAAAACATTCTCCAGAAGCAGTTGTTGCACTAAGTATTATCTGAAGTTACCTTTACTTGCTTATGATAAGATGTACTGCCCTTCTGAGCTGATAGGAGAACAGCATTTTTCAAAGTTGTCAGGCAAAAGCAGAGGAAGGATCAAAAGAGTGTTCAGGTATAATATTTTTAAAACTATGCAAGATTTTCCTAAACACACCCTTGTGTGTGTGTGATTTTAAAGTGGGAGGATGAGTAAATATGATGGTAAAAGTAACCAGACATGTAGCTTGGATGTGCATTTCTTGTTATCTCTATTCTGTGGAATCCACAATTGCATCAATAAGGGAAGAGAGTAACAGGCAGCAAAAGTAAAGAGGTAGATGAGGTGGCTGTCCAGTTGGCCTCCCTTTTTGAAATACTCAAGTTGTATTTTTGTGTTTTCTTTGAATAGTTTAAACATGCATATGTTAATGAACATGATTGCTCTTTAATCAGTATTGATAATTCCTGTCACATGTTTGAGGAAGAAGCGTGCTGGAGTCCCCAAAGCTGCTGTGCTTCTGGCATAGTTGTGTTGGTGCTGCTCCCACCAGCTGTCCCAGGAGCACAGCACAAGGCTTCAAAGCTCCCTTAGTCTTCCCAGTCAGCCCAGCCTTGCATATGCATCTGAGAAGTCAAGGACTAAGCCTCAGAGGTAGTATGAAGCAAGCCAGAATGTATTGTTAGTCACTTCTAAAACAGTTCTTGTCGTTTTGGGAATTGCTTCCACCATTCATTTCTACACCCTCTTTAGGACCCCTGAAAGCTATGAGTGGTGATTTATGCAAAATGGAAATACTCACTTGTTTGGTTGCTTTGGCTGTAGTAACAAACAGCTTACATTAACACCATAGCAAGTTGCTCTTCGTCAGCAGGGGAAAGTGATGGGTGTGTGCATTACTACTGTATTACAAAATCAAGTACAAACTTCACACTTGAACCAGGGGTGAACTTGGTGTATGTGAACCCTTTCTAGAGCTTCTGGACTAGCCAAAAATCACTGGTATTTTATACTGAGGAGACTATTCTAGCTTTGTGTGTCCTTCCTTCTGCTCTTCCACTGAGATAAAATCATATATTTGGTGTTCTGTAAATTTTGCTCTCCTAATCTTTGATGTAGTGTTGTATGCCAAAACCAGAAAATATTTATTTTAGGACTACAGAAAGGAATGTAGGATGGACAAAACACTTTCCAACATCCTTATGGCCAAGGCTATACAGTTCTTTTAGTCTGACTTAACCAACCAAACATGTAGTATATTGGTGTTTACAGGAGCAGTGGATATACAAGGAGATTGTTTGGCATGTTTTCTTCTGAAAGAGGCCTTGTTCTTAACATAATCATTGAATGGCACACACTGTGATTATCACCTTTTGGTGGAAGCTGGTGGTTCTGATGTGTGTCATACTGGCTTTGTCCAGCAGCTGAGAGCAGTAGCAGTGTAGCTGTCAACAGTTAGTGGAGTGGTTTGAGGGTAGACTTGGCAGGTCACTGTTGCCTGTATTTTAGTGTTGGTTGTATAATCCATAACTTACTAGGGATGTACGATAAGAAGTGTAGTGTTTCTCCGCTAGTTTTTCACATTATGTTGAACAGCTTCAGTTCAGTTTTGTAAGAAGTACTTGGTCTGCTTTCCTAAATATTCTATGTATGGATCCATTTTCCTTTCTTCTTTCCAGCCACCAGCTTAATAGAATTCGTGGTCATCAAAACTTCAGTTTGAGAGAATAAAAAAAAAAATCTGAAATTCATGATACTATGTAGTCATCTGTATATTTGAAGCCAGCTCAGAATGTCTTATGGGATTTGTTTTAACCTATGCCAGGTATTTGTCTCCTTCAGAGTGGGGAGAGAAATGGAGTGAGGTGCTGCCTAGAACTAATCAAAAGGAAACTGTCAGTGGGAGGGTATGAATGACCTGCTGACTCTTATGCTTATTTGATCTAGTTGCACAGAACCTAGCACATCCCATGTT